TGCTTTTTTATGCTATTGACATTGTTTGAGTGAGTGTATATTTGATCATTCATCTTCGTATTAAAATTATGTAATTATAATAGGAGATTCTAGAAATTCCGACCTTCGATTATCACTTAAATTGGTGAACCAGTTATTTTATAGCATCAGATCACATCTATTAAAAAATAATTCCTCCCAAAAAAAAATCCCGCGTACACACGAATACATAGTACTGACAAAAAAAAGCCAAAAAGAATATCTTGTATATATACGTCACCCTACTTATAAAATTTGCATGGATTTTAAAGAAAATGAATGGCCTATATTAGAGAGCACCTAACATCTAAACTTCCTACAAACTCTCTCAAGCCGCCACGTGAGACTCCTAAGGGCATGTACAATGTAAATGCTCTAAAAACACTCCTAAATTGTTATATGGAGTTATAATAAATTATAAAAATTTATTTTCATTAAATCGGTGAACCATTAATTTTAACCATTAGATCTATCTAAAATACAAAATTCCGGTAGCCAGCACGTACTCCCTCCCTCTAGCCACCCCCAACTCTTCCCTTCTCCCTTATTTCTAGCTAACATAGATCTATCTTAAGATTTTGAAATTACGCTCATCTGGAAAAAGAATCACTTGTAGAAAAAGTCCTCCAAAATTCCTAATGCGCGATCGCTCGCCAGGCTCGATCACCCCCTTCTCCACGTGATTTTTTTTGGCACCGCATTACTTTTCTATTTTAGTAAATTTTTGCACCTAAAGTTTGTACACCTCAAGTTTACATATCTAAAGTTTATACACCTAAAATTTAGAGACCTAAAGTTTATAAGTCAAAAGTTTATATATCCGATTCAAATTTGAATTTGAATTCAAATATTTTTTATATATAGTATTTCTATACATCTAAACTTTATACACCTAAAGTTTATAGACCCAAAGTTTATAAGTCAAAAGTTTACATACCCGTTTCAAATTTGAATTTAAATTCAAATATTTTTTATATATAGTATTTCTATACATAAATTTTTTTAATTTTGTTTTTTTATTTTTTTAAAAAAATTATGTTGTAGTAGGAAGAGAAGAAGGGGAGGAGGAAAGGGGAGAGGACCTTATACGAGGGGATGGAGGTTGATCGCTCCAGGCGATCGATCGCCCATTAGCGTCACCCAAAGTCCTCTATCACTCCATGGACGTGCACGTACATATGTACCTACCCTCCTCTTTGTTCTTTCCTTTTTTTCCCTTCTAGGTTAGATGAGATACAAAATCAAAATTCGTATTAAACTTAAAATATACTCTAATAAATTAGAAAAAAATCTAGAAAATGTGAGAAAAAAAACTACAATATCTAGCCATCAATTTTTAATTAAATTGATGGATCTGTTATCTCCGACCATTAGATTAAATCCTATTTATAATCTCTCTCCTAATCTCTCTCAGCGCACCGACGAGAAAGGTACGTACTTACAACTTGTAAAAAAGCTGAAAATACATATACAACTGCAACACACATTTAAAAAGATAAAGTGGAAAAACATAAAAATATAAATTATGTCATTAAAAATTACATTTGCTTCCTTCTTCTTCTTTCTCTTCTACATGTATAGACGAAATTGTAATTATTAGTAGTGGTAATAAATTTGAAGAAATTATAACTTTATAAACATAGATTATATATATCATCATATATATATGTCTAAATTAGATTCACAAATGTTTGAAAATAATTTTTATAAAACTATATTATTTTACCATTTATATTAACAATATAATATTTTTTTTACTTAAACCGATGCATCTATTATATCAAATCATTATTTTATATGAAAATTTTAAAAACATGTTGTTTAATATAAATGTTACGCAATAATATTCTCTACCAGTAAATTGCCCATTTATGATCTATGTTAACTAATATTTTACATTAATTACTCAACCCACTATTTTATACTATTTTTAACAAAATATTTTGATATCGGTTTTCACTTAAACTGATGGATCTATTAATTAGACCTATTAAGGACCTATTAACAAGCATGCCATATCTATCTTTTATAAAAGTAAAATGAAACTTCTAAAGACCACGCACATGTGTATGTTTGCCTTCTGCACGTGTGATGAAGCATCGTACCTGAGGCAGCTAAGGTGATATGGTGATCCGATAAACACTATACATACCAATTAAATTTATATAATTTTGCTCTTATTTCAAACAAATATCGTTTCGAAGAAAACAATCAAACATGCGAAAAAGAAAAAAAAAGAAAAGCTTCAAACAATTGCTGATATTTTGCACTACCCAACAAAGCAATTCTGCAAATGATTTGTGTCCTAACAAAAATTCTTTAAAACTTTGGAAAAGAATATGAAAATTTTGAACTTCTACGAAGGGAAAAACAATCCAACCGTTAATCTATCCTAATTTGGTTGTCACTAAATCGTGCATCTTCATGAGACGATTCGATCACAATAATTTTAAGTCCTTGCTATCGCAATTTTTACTTGTAGCAATATTATATAGTATGTGTTTAAATGGTGTACATAATATTTACTTTTCGCGAACGCGTATACATCATATTTACTCACTTAGTCCAAAAGTAAATTCAAATGTCATATGACCTTGATCTATCTTCTAAGTCAATGGTTTTCAGATATGCCCGACCTATAGTTTGCCCTTATAAAATATAATTTCTATTATGATAGCATGGATGCCCGCGTATCGCGTGGGCCACCTTCATAGTTGTTTAAAAAACCATACACGTCTCTATCATTGAACATGCCCTTAGAAGGTAGGTAAGCCTACGTGTCTTTAGATCATCGCTAGCACGTTATTGATTCACCGTCACAGGCTAATTAATCTTCGTATCTTGGAAACAGGACCGTAGAGATTTGACACACTTGACCATTCGCCAAACCATAATTTAAGCGTGTGTTAAAATTAGAAGACGCTTAAGGACGTGTATGTACACGCCTTATCCACGTAATTAGTCATATCGATCGCCAAAGATCGAATATGCATGCATAAGCCCTTTGCCATGCTGCATCATTGCATTGATATGCTGCATGCCCCACAACGCGCCTATAGCTAGCTGGTACATGTTTAAGGCTTTGTACGTGCATACGATCGACCTGACCGTGCATCACGAGGGAGGCTGATCAATTTGCCTGTAGAACCATGTATGGTCAGATAAGATGTGTAGGATCAGAATGTACGTACTAATAGGGAAAGTCTTTTTACTTCCGGTTTATAGCCCCTTATAGTCCCGGATTGCAAACCGAGACGTCCAATTTAAAACTAAAGATACCCATTTTAGTCCCAGTTAAAATAACTGGGAGAAAAGATAAATCTTTAGTTACGATTGATAATACCAACCGGGTCTAAAGATGGTAACACCACGTGGCTGGCGCTACCATCTTTAGTCCTGGTTGGTTAGTTTTTTTTTTTTGGAAAAATTGGTTCATTGTTTCTTTCTGCTTCCATTTATTGTCACCCTCAAATCCTCACAAATTATGCACAACAAATCATCTACAATTGCCCATCCAAAAAAATCATCCACAATCCCCAAGTCATTCACAAAATCATCCCTAAATCTAAAAAAAAAATCACAAAACCACCCAGCCACTGCCTCCCGGTCGCGGCTGCCTGATGTTGGCGCCGCCCGGCCACCTCCTCCTGACCTCTGCCACCTCCCGGCCGGATCTGCCGCCCAGGCACCCAGCTACCACCACCCGGCCGCCACCTCCTGGCCGCCGTCGCCGTCGGAGGAGGAGTGAGGAGGGGGAAGAAAGGGGGAGGTAGAGAGAAAATGAGAGGGGAGGAGGAGAGGAGGATGGGATAAGGACGAGAGGCACAGCGCGCGCGGCTCAGGAGTTTTCACGGTTTTTAGAGCTTGGGTCCCGGTTGGTATAAACAACCGGGACTAAAGATTTATCTTTAGTACCTGTGGATTTTTAAATCGGGACTAAAGATATTTTTAGTCCTGGTTCTTACTCAAACCGGGAATAATATGATTTTTGCGTGACCCAACAAAGATCATTTCTTCAGTAGTGACACATCCTGAATAGTCTGTCTGATTCATCCATGTTAAAATATAACAACCTATAATCGAATATGACATATCTTAAACAATCTGTCTGATTCATAGCCCTTGTTTAGATCCAAACTTTTTCTTCAAACTTCCATCTTTTCCATCACATCAAAACTTTCCTACACATAAACTTTCAACTTTTCCATCACATCGTTCCAATTTCAACCAAACTTCCAATTTTGGCGTGAACTAAACACACCCATAGTATTAGGCCCCGTTCGATCTCCACAATTCTGGCACGCAAAACGAGAAACCTCCTTAGCACATGATTAATTAAGTATTAATTATTATAAATTTGAAAACTGAATTTATTTGGTTTTCTTAAAACAACTTATATATATAATTTTTTTTAAATAATGCAACATTTAACAGTTTGAAAACAAGAAATAATAAAACAGGTCCTTAGAATGTGTACCATTTAGGACCGGAGGTCGTATACATGTAATCCTCGTCGGTGGGCGCTAGCTGCATGTGTTTGTGCATGCAGATCACCAAACCGGAAACGTCCATTTATACCTGCTGCTCATACAAATATACTCCCTCCGACCTAATATAATAGATTTTGGAATAGATAAAACGTATTCTAGTATTATAAATCTGAAAATATTTCCCATCTAGATTCGCAGCCCTATGATACGTCCCATCCAACAAAAATCCATTTATATTTAGGAGCACATAAACATGAATGAATGCTGTCTGGACTTCTCCTGTAGGGACTGTAGCTTGGATCCTGGTCCAAAGGCTGCACGCAGCCACGCATAGTACAGTAGAGACTCAATCATGCATCTGCATTATATGTGACCCAACGGCACCGCAAATCCCACTTATCGGGCTATATACAGTTCATATTTCAATTGGAAAGAAAATCATTTCCCATTTGGAACGAGACATAATTAAGATACCAACAAGGGAAATGATAGGAAACCGAATGCTAATGATTTGATATGTGGACCACCACGTGGGGAAATCAAGTGTTTATATAGGTCATTTCTCCAAAGTTGGTTCATAATTAATTAATTAATTAATCCCTATTACACTGGCTTATCCGTGTTATTTATGGAAGGGCCAAAAATGTGTAATCACCAGAAAATGAAAAGAAAGATGACATCCCAACGACTGACGCCACAGCAAATGGGAAAAGAATTGGAGAAATACATCAAACTACTTTGCAGAAATAGGATGAAGTACATGTTTTTTTTACATTATTGGTTCGCACCTGGGAGTAAGGTCAGCTTCAACCGACACGGTCGAATATTTTGAGTAAACAGGTCCATTTTATGAAAGCAGATGATCGCATGTTCAGTCGCCTTGCAGGCAGTAGAGCTGGCGGATGTTGCCTGAAGCTGAAAAATTAACAAAATGTGATTTAGGGGAACCCAGAGCTCACCAAAATTGAGCAAGCCATATATACCATCAGCAATGATGTGCATGAAAAAGATAAAGTAGAACGAAACTCAAAGAATTAGTTTCACATACGTAGGTGATTGCCGGTATGTTGCAATGGGATCCTAAAAAAAGTTTCACATACATTTTGAAGTCCAAAATTATCTAATTAGAAAACCATTTTAGCCTGGTGAGCTTGCCAGAAGCACTGAATACTGTTGCCATATCGATGTAGATTTTCCATCTAATTAACATCTCCTATTCGTTTCCATCAATACAGCACGGGTATACCACATTACCAGACAACCTGCCAGACCGCCGTACTCCACTGGGAAAGGCCCAGCCCATCTACAATCTGCTAACACTAGCTATCTCAACAACTCTCCCCAGAAACTCCCCCAGCCGCAGACACCCTCTCCTCCATCGCCAACTCCCCCAACTGAGTTAGCCAGCACCGCATGGCCGCGCCTCTTTCCTCCCTTCACCTCCAGCACCATCATTCCACTCTCCTCTCCTCTATCCTCAATAGCCATCGTACCGCCCCTAGCCATCTCCAGAACCGACTTCCTCTTGTTCCCTTACAGTTCCTCCTCTGGTGAGCAAACACAGCTGCACTGCGGCGCCAGCCACCTCCTCTAGGCTCTAGCACGATCTACATCCCATCCTCTGGGGAGCGAAGCTCGGGACTGAAAACCAGTCACCCGGGCACTGCGGTGCTCTTTGAGTGGCAGCAACCAACGCGACCAACAAAAGTGGTCTGCTGTTACAAAGCTGACTATGGCAGAAAGATTCAAGCATTGGACGACAACTGCAGTAGCATGCTTGGCTGCCCCGTCAGATCAAGCACGTGGTCTTTGAGAAGTACCAAGCGCCGTTCCAACTTCTGAGTTCCAGGGCCGTGGCCAGGTAGAGTGAATGCGAGCAAGCAAGATGTCGGTTCCAGTTTTCCCTCACGTGGCTCATTGGCCCCACGTGGCAGTGGTGGTGGGTGGTGGCAGTTTCACCACTCACCACCACCACAAGAGGCTTTTAAAGTAGTATAGATGTAGGTATGTTGTACTTAATACTCCAGCTGACATGCTGAATAAAACGGATTCAGAATCATGTGGAATTGGAAGCCCAGAATAATGGTTCAAGTTCATTATGTATGGCCGTCATACTCTATACTACACCTATATTGGAAAAAAAACACTTATTGAAGCTACTAGGTTGACCCAATCATATATTCTTGTGACAGGTTTGTACTGTATTAGTGTGCACATTTGATTGTAGCTACCCAACAGTACATAAGAATCCTCATGCTGAGCAGTAATTACTCATTACTGAGCGCTCCATTCATGCAAATTTGTTTGTATGGTCAAAGCAAACAATTTGATTCTTGACACTGTTTCTTTGAAGAGACTAAATTTCAGAAAGCAAGGTGCAATTCTAATGACTTAGGCAAAACCATCATAGGCAAATGGCACTAAAACAAGCATAAAGGAGATATGAATGCATTAGCAACTGAATGTACAGATGAAAACTTACCATATAACCAATCTTTGAACTGTGCATGGAGGGCATTTGTCAATTCCTTCTTCCTATTGTCATCAATTTGCAGCTCCCGAATAGTCCTCCTAATATCTTCCAGTGCAGCAAGCTGAATATGAATGGTGTAAACACAGAGTTGAATTAGAAAAATCTAAATGAGGCAAATGTCAGTGGTAAAAACAACAGGACAAATTTTTCTCCTACTTCACAAATAATAACCAGATCTTGTGCTCCATAACTCCAGCATCCCTAATGCAGCTAGATTCGTACACACTAAGCTACTACAATTTAGACATGCGAATTGTGGAAGAATATCGAAGCACCAATTATTTCAATGGTATTGTTCAATTTGTACATAAAGCCACAAGCCCACAAAGTCATGGAGTGGGAAAAAATTCGAGGGTTCATTCTAAAGTAGGCACCAGCGCAAGTATAGACAAATTAGCAATGCACATGCAGGTAGTCCGAAGTCTGAACAATGACCTTTAAAGAGTTTTTTTTAAGAACAGTAGGGGACATAATTAGAATTAATCAAGTCAGAGCAAGAGCACCTGAAGACCAAGCTTTGATGAATTTAACAATGCACCATACCTTTTTGCTCTGGGATGCACAATAAATTTCAGGCAATGGAAAAGGACAGCATTTTGTAGGTTCTTGCACTTCAGTCCCAAACCAACTAGGAATCTGCAGGAGGAAAACAGTCATGATACAACACTGTACTAGAAAAAAAAAGTTAGCTGTATTATAAAAGAAAAACACCAGCTCCTACTTTAACAAAGTAGCAGCTCCCTACCACCACTACTAGCATGTGTTTGCAAAATGGCCTCTCTATTCAAGTGCAGTGGATAAGATGGACAATGCAAGCAAGATGAATGAATGAGTTTTAATGTATGCCATGTTATGCACCAATCCCATCAAGACAGCCAGCAGAAAATAATATGGTGCAGATTGAATAAATTCGTCTATCTGTCTTCCTATATTCATGAAGTTTAGCAAAGCAGAAGGCCCAAAATATACATGATGTACCATAAAGTTTGTGAATAGATCAGGATCTAGACGAGCTGCAGATTCAGCCTGAACATCAGAAACCCCCGCGGGATGGGATAATGAATCGTGCGGATCAACAACTCCCAACACAAAAGGCTGGTCCCATTTATTGATTGCAGGATCCACACCAACTTTTGCCAGATGTTCACCCAATTGTGGGTAGTAGGTATTAAATGGAGCAACCTGTTGGTACAGAAAAGGAGAAATTTGACTATAGTAAAAGGTTAAAATCAAAGCACAGTATGTTATTAATAGCACATCAATAAGTTCAGCATTGGACAAACTTCATACTTTCTTCCAGCTGTAACCCAACAACCTAAAAACTATGTAAGAATAAGTTTAGAGCAAGTTTAATAGTAGAGCTAACTGCTAGTTATAAACCCACATTAGAGTTAACATGTATAATAGATTAGCTATAAGGTTGGCTAAATTTTTCATCTCCTCTCTCTTAGGCTGCGTTCGTTTCTCCAACAAGAGTTGGATGAAATTTTGGATACTTGTGGCATGCTTTTCAAACTACTAAACGGTGCGTTTCGTGCAAAAATTTTCTATATGAAAGTTGCTCTACAAAATCAGATTAATCCATTTTTCAAATTTGTAATAATTAAAACTCAATTAATCACACATTATTACCACCTCATTTTGCGTAAAACACTTAATCGTTATCTTCATCTTCATCTTCAGGAGATTCAAACACCACCTTACTCTCATTTATGCAATTAATGCATTCATCTTGGAGCATGTGTATAGCTATCTCTTGCATAACACTCATTTTTCTTGTTATCTCTCCTCCACATAAGCTTACAGTTGAGTTATAGCCTACTAACTAAACTTGCTCCATAGTGGACTCTAAGCCAACTATAAGGCTATGTGGAGGAGAAAGAACAAGAAAAATGATGGGTGTTAGCTTTTATGCAAGAGCTAGCTTTACACATGCTCCAAGGTAAATGCATTAATTGCATAGGTGAGAGAAAGATAGGGAAGAAAATTTGAGGCAACCTTATAGCTAATATACTATACATGTTACCTCTAATATTATTTTTAAATGGGCTTATAGCTAGTAGTTAGCTCTACTATTAAACTTGCTCTAAAGTGTGAAGGTGAACCTTATAGTTAAGATCATTAAACAAATAATTCTTTGAGAGTTATCTCTTCTTGATTTGGTAGGGTGTATAGCATTGACTTTATTATGATCTCCACAAATAAATTATTTTAACAATCGGTAAACATATAGATAGTCATGTAGATATGAATATATTATTGAGGGTGTACAATCATCTATATAATAAAGTTTGATTAATCACTTGGCAGTAACTTTTCATAGCAACAAGTGTGTACCTTCAATTACACTATTAAAAGGGACACTCACTTGTAATTTATGGTTGTCCCCCACAATAAGAGGTTGGTGATTTACTCCCAGGTAGAATATGCACTCACGACAGTTAGCAATACAAATCCATTTAGCAGCTGCAATAATATGAACTCTTTCACAATGCTCCACCTTAACAACCTGACAACACAAAACATATAAAGTATAATTGTCAAATGTACTTAGCACTTTAGCAGAACAGAGGTAATAACAGCAAATTTGAAGTGACAATAAAAAAGTGTTTCTTATTTTCCACTTGGGGCCCTTTATTCTTTGTTAATGTACAGCCTATCTTATATTATGTTTAACAGTCCAACTCAACGCATGATTAAATCTATTTGATAGGAATTTTCCAGGAAAAGACTGTAAAAGAGTAGCAACTAGCATGTCAGTTTTTGGTTCACACAACAATGTGTGACATCTTTCACTGTCTATTGTTATTATTATCATCACCTCCTCTTCTATTTGGACAAAATACTCAGCACTCATGTACCATTCAGGTGATACCAAGGCATACACAATTGAAGTCTCAAACAGATCCGGTGCAGCTAAAATAGTCTGGTGGCAACTGATGTGTATACAAGGGTTTTTCTCTTTAAATTGCTTAGAAAAATATGAGGAATATATTAATCAATATTCTGCAACAATGGGAAAGGAGGGTGTAAAGATATACCGATTGGCATCCATACCTTACCAATAGCACCAAGAACAACAGTAGCATCAGAACATCCATACACAGTTGCGTACTTCAATGGTGCCAATATGTAGATAACAGACTCATGGCAATTTAAAACCTACAAAAGCTGTTTGTTAAGAAAACCAAAAATGTGGAGTCCCACCTCCATGATCACAAAATTAAATACACAAAGCAGCTACGTCACAATACAACACAGAAGTGGGAATTTCTTGAAATAGAGTAAAACATAATACTGACACAAACAGCTAGAAGCTGGAGTCTGCAAAAAATTTTCATCATGAGAACAGTTGTCATATTTGTTTTCTCATCCCAATTCTACTTAGCAGCCTATTTCCCCGCGTCCCAAAATATAGCTATCTAAATTTTTCGCTTCGGTTTTAACATTTTACATATCCTGGCCCAAATAATGCCAGTTTAAGCCATCATCTCCTTAATCACCCAGATGTGGCTAACAATGTTTTTCCCTTTCAAACTAATACTCCACTGGAAATCCAGAGATTAAAACATATTCTTTATTGTACTAAGAGTAGCACTAGAATAAATTATTACATTCAAGATATGTAAGCATATGAAAACACTTGAAACTGTTTTAAACTAGATTCGCATAAATGGTTCTTTTTATCAACATTAACCCCCCCCCCCCCCCGGGGGATTTAGTGGACAATGCAAACATGTAGAAATGTGAAAAGTGACATATCTTTGTAGTCTTTTCAGCATCCAAAAATAGTTTATGGTAAGCAGCTATGATCCATACCTTCACTGAATGTCCTTTGACATCAGACGCGTGCTTGACAACAGAAGTTTTGGAGAAGCCTTCCACAAATGTTGTGTTTCTGTAGTATGCAGGATTTGTACCAGTCGGTGTGCTGTTCCTTGCATTACTAGCATTGGCATCAGCCATTGTGACGTCTATATCGGAAGTAACCTGCTGGCTAACTTCCTTTGATATGGACTTCTCGGTAGAGAATTCCAGTGAAGCAGATATATTCTGTGAGATCCAATCATGAACCTGGGCAGCAGGTACAGGGGCAGCAGGCATGTCAGGATCAGAATTTGCAAAAAAAGTGGCTGCCTGGCTTAAGGGTGTTCCTTCTGAGAACTTCAGTAGAAATCCAAGGTGTTCAAATGTCTCCATGGTCAATACCTGCACAAAAATTGTGAAATACAGTTATTTTACATTCTGAAGTGTAATGGTCTACCAAAGCCCAACCACAAAGAATCCTAAGGAATAAAAACCTAAATAGGACGCACAAAGGCAATTGCCTTCAGAAAATGCCCTCAAATGTAAGGTGACAATGTGACATGTATCCTAAATTTAACAAAAAGATGAGTTCTTACTTGGGCCAGATATATCTAACTGGGTCAAATATATGCTACCTTTATATTTGCTTGTCTATATATTAGTTTTTAAAAAAGAATCTGCTATCTCAAAACATCTACTGATGGGTGGTCTTCGTTTTTTTTCTTTTTTTGCAGGGCACCTTCTGAGTGAAGTTAACACCTAATTGACCAAAAGCATACTCATACATCACAATATATTTAGAGGTATACTTGTCTGAGAGGTAGGTTTGCATATAATTTTACAGGATCACGGCCCTGGAGTTCCAGGCATCCAACACGGAGATGTACTTTTACGGGTCGATTCTAGTGTTTTGAGATATAGAAAAACAAATAAACTCCATTATCAGAACATGCTATGCATTATTCTGTCACTCTTTTCCCACATAAAGCTTCACTCTACTAAGAAAACAAGATACAAATTGTCAAACAGAAGAGTAATCAAGTGGATATCACAAATAGCAACAAGCTCGGCAAACTTAAAAGAAAGAAAAGGCTGCGTACCAGAGAATCATCACCTTCGCCCTCAACAGAATCGGCCAACAGAGTAAGAATATTGGCCATATGCTTTTGCAGATAAGATAGCTGGTGAATTTCCTCATCAGCTTGAGAAGGCATGAATCGACGGCTATTACTGCGTACAAGCTGCGAAATAATATAAATATAAAGAGTAAGTGAAGGAGGTACCATACGACTCATATTAGCAAAAGGAACAGAAGGTGTTTTTATGTCTTTTGCTTGATCTGTTGGTTTGGGGAAGGGAAATTGGGATTGACCCTAAATGTAACACCTAGAACAATTTTAACATGTAACTGAGGTTGGTAGCGTAAAAGCTTTAAATACGAGAAATTGAATAAGTAGGAGAAATCTTGATTTTACAAAAACTTTATACAAAAAGGCATGAATACTAACCCTCTGTAGCCACTGTTACCACCCAAACCAGAAAAGGCACAGGGCATAGGATTTCAGTTTAAAAATATTGCTGATAGACGAAACAGAGGTTTAGCAGCTGGGAATTTTGTAAGTCATATTTGAATGCACCATAGTCTCCAAATTTTGAAATTTGAGCTAAAAGAGTGGAAGTAAAATATTGTGCCTATAGTGAAATTACCAGGTTTGCATGGTTCCAGATCAAATCGAAAGAATTAAGCAAACATACAATTGACTGAATCTATAACAAAATGGTCACAACAATGACTGGTCGCTCAATTATGGCAAAGTCTGTGTGCTTCTGAGTTTACTGTTAGCATACAAGTCCAACCATCATACGTAATTTGATGCAACCAACCATTCATTTCTGACGGCCACCAATAAAAAAGATAACCTTAAATTGAAGTCAAGAAGTGACCCCAGCATACGGTACCATCCATAGCATCCAATAAGTATCAGCAGCTAGGATCTTCCTTTGCACTATATATCTAGAGCTGCACGACTTTTTACTGTGGAGCATTTCTTATAGCTCGAGTGAGTTACATCACATATCAATTTTTGTTGTGACAGCAGATAAACGGCAGCATCAGCTGCAACATGAAGGATATAAGGTGGCACAACAGCCGCCTTGTTTAAATCGACGGCGATGTTCTAAGCTCAATTGGGCACATGATTAAGGCTAAGCAATCACACATCCAAGGTGTTCTCTGCTGCAGAGGAATCATGGGAGCACCCAAATTCTAATTATAAAGCAACGGGGGGGAGGCCTAGATCCCTGACCTGGATCGGGGAGAGCGCGGAGAGGTAGCCGTCGAAGGCGGAGGTGGAGGGCCAGACGTCGGTGACGGCGGGCGAGTCCTTGTGCGCGCGGGGCACGAGGCGCTTGTACGACTGGATGTAGAGGAAGAGCAGCACGTCGCGGAGGTCGGCCCTGCCCCCGCCGCCGGAGTCCAGCGCGGGGTCGTCCGCGGGGAGCACCGCGGCGAGCGTGGCGAGCGCGAGCGCCGCCTGCTCGTGCGGGATCTGCAGCGCCTCCGCGAGCGCCGCCGCGGCCACGCGGCCTCCTCCATCCGCGGCGGAGGCGAGCTTGTCCTTGACCTGGGCGAGGGTGTGCGCGAGCGTGCCCTCGGGGAAGATGAGCTTGGGGATGGGGAGGAGGCCGTGCTCGAAGGCCTCGCGGCGGGGGCGGAGAAGGAGCGGCGGGGGGGACGGGGACGGGGACGCGGCTGCTACCGCCGGCAGCGTCTGCGGCTGCGGCTCCGGCGGCGGGTCGAGGGGGTCGTCGGCCATCGCCGGCGGCGAGGAGGAGGAGGAGGAGGAGATCTGGGAGGAGGAGGAGAGGAGGGGGAGAGTGGCGGAGTGCGGTGGCGCCGCGGAAATGGCGAGAAGGGATCGCAGGGGAGCGGGTGATTTTTCTTTTCTTTTCTTTTATTTATTAGATTATATTAAAATTGTTTTCCATTATAGTGGGAATTTTGTTTGGTATAGAACCAAACGACTCGTTTGTTAGAGCTTTAAATTCTAAATTTAACTTCATGAATTGGGTCTAGTATAAAGTTGTGGGGCAGTATAAATCTAGCTCCACCCTTTTAGCAGTTTCATCTTTTCACTTATGCTTATGCTTATTAGCCAAATTTTGAATTTTCAACGTTAAATTTGGAGTTGATTTTGAGGTTTTCTCATCGAAGTTTATTTTTCAACCTTGCTTTTTAGATCGTTAAGAACACGTATATAAAAGTTTTATTTGCAGATTATTTAGCCTAGTTCATTTTGTGAGAGCGCTCTAGCCAGCTCCACTCCAATTTAGATGAAACTGAAATTGTTTGGTTAGGCTTAAGATCCAAGAGAGATGTTGCTATATCTGGAGCTGCACCAAATATGCCCATAGTAATAACTAGGTGAAACCCCGCGCATTGCTGCGGGAATTTAATATGATAACAAAAAAAATAACGTGTAAAATAACTAGATAACATCAGATTAAGTAAATTAATGTGGTTTATGATAATTTAAATTTAAATAGTATGTAGAATGGTTATTCAAACGTAAAAAGTAAGGTGGTATGACTTTATGAAAGAAGAAAAGTAGGGAGATAGTTTGGACCGTAAATTAATCATCTAAAGGCTAAAAATAATTGATGTGATATGACTTAATTAGAGGAAAAAAGGAGAAAGATAATTTGGACCATAGATTAATCATTTAAGCACTAACTAAGTGAGGATGAACTATATAAGTATATAGGATATCATAAAACATAATAAAAATATACATTGAAACATTATGTGAATTGTGTTGAATGATAATTTAACATGTTTGTATTTGAAAAGCTCTTAAATTATAAAAACTATAAATATATAGCATGTTTGCATGATGTTTAAATGTGATGATTGTTAGTGGATGATGATGTGACATCTTGTTAATTAGTGGATTAGTAGATGATGATGTGGCATCTTTGCATGTTAAGCTTAAGGAGTTAGTGGGGGATAACTTTATAGTAAGATAGGATAAATGGGTTTTGTAGTTTCAGACATGGCAAGAAGAGTTGATAGCTCTAGCAATCCAACGTTGGTTGTTGGCCAAAATATGGCACATGTAAGGCCATGTACAAGTGTACAACCCGTATTAAATCATAAGCTATTAACCTTGCTAATTAGAAATATTTGTGAAAAAAAATAAACAAAATATCGTTGATATAGTTAACAACAGCACAATATTGATTCTTAGCACTTACAGAAAGAAAACATGATTACATGAGGGTGAGAAAAAACAAGAAAGAACAACAATAAACAAAATTTGAGTTTTCGTCGTCTCAACTATTATATTGTAAAGATATTATCTCTAAATAATTTAAGAGATCATACTAGGCTCTACTATTGAGTATGTCCTAAACTGTGTTTTTTATATGAGGAAACAAATGGTTTAATCTATCATTTATCGATCAAAACTGGTAATAATTTATTGATAAATTTTTTATAGTCATATGATTGTAAAAATAAACCATGATAAAATAATTATCAAAATCAGTTTGAAAATTAAATATTTAAATTTAAATTCTGGCTACGGGTAATAAGCCAAAAGACAAGCAAAGGAGTAGTTTATACTTTTTGTAGAAATATAAAAGTTTCCAGTTACAATTTTGTGGCATCGAAAATATTCTGATTTATTTTAATTGCATCGAAATTAGCTATTTATTATTTTGTTTGGCAGTTCATTTTGTCGCGGATTTTTAACTCTCAAAATTTAGCAGTACCAATGTTTGATTAGGTAGCAAACTAAGCTACTCTTAGCATTATTACCTTTCCAAATTTTGTTAGTTCAGATAATTTCCTTTCATACGAACACTATCAAACTTTGCTAAGGTTGTGTTTTTTTTTTTTGGGGAAGAGCTGGGAATTACTATTGCTCAACCGACTGCTAAGGTTGTGTTTGTTGTTACATTTCTCAACTCATCTTCCTCGTTTTGCGCGTACATGCTTTTTAAATAACTAAACGATCTTTTTTTAAAAAAAATACGAAAGTTGCTTTAAAAAATCATACTAATCTATTGTTTTTAAAAAAACTAGCTAATATTTTATTAATCATGTGCTAATAAGTTATGCGTAGGACAAACTAACTCAGCCTAAAAAGTTGACAATGGCCAAAGGTGTCAATACCAAAATTGGGTATGAACAAGCCCTTAGTTACACTGGAAGGCCGCATTTGGACAACCTATTGTTGAAATTTCTAGCAGTCCGAAAAAAAAAAGTTGAAAAACAGGCCTAATTTTGGACCGAACTGAGGCCCATAGAGCTGATGCCTGATCGTCGCTGGCCCGTGGGCCGTTTCCCAACTCCAAAACCCACGCTCGCTAGCTGATGAGAAACGGCATGATGGGAAAAGAGAACCGAAAATTTCAGAACATTTTGAAATTAATTATGTTCAATAATTTTGTCAGTAATTAACTTAAAATTACATTTTCCTGTCACGGTTTCAAGGAGCATGCAGGAAATATATATTCATTTTCTTAGATCGACCGAGTAGAAGATTCTAATTTCTAAAAGAACAAATTAAGCCGTCGCTTTATTACAAGAGACTCCATTTGTGGTTGGAAACAGTTGCTTTTGTAATGGTCAAGTTCTTTTCATTTTTCAGGATCCAAGACTTGACCCTAATTAGGACAAAACTGAATTTTCCGTGCTTGTGAAGGAAATTCCCACGGTTAATTAATCGACATCGATCACTTCAATTCAGATTGGCTCCTATTGGTCAATTTTATTTAGGACATCTTTTTTAGAGCTCTTATACATAGGTCAATAATGTCGTTATTGCATTTGCTGTTTTCTGAAATCGACTCGTACGTGATCGTTATATATACACTGAATTGGAATAACTTATCAGAACACAGAAAATCCATGGAAAACAAGGCAATTCCTTCAGAATCATAACATGGGTTTTCCAATCCAATAATTAAACAATTAGACACAATTTAGCATGCATCCATGTGAAATGCAGAGACCATATATTGTTCCTGTTTATTATTGTAGAGTTGACTTTAATTAGCATCATCTTTGTAGTGACCCCAAGAAGGTCAAGATATGTTCTCCCTGACCTTTTGTATCTTCTTGTTTTCATTTTGTGTTACAAGGTTATTTGGCTTTGCCTGTTTGTTGTAGCCGACCTGGCCGACAGCATCTCATTCAACTGTAATCTGAAACCACCACCACTTTCTTCTTCTCTGACTTTTTCCATTAACCCAGATTGTTCTTACAACATCTTCTTTCTTTTTTCATAAAACATTCAAGATATCAATAATACTGTCTCACACATTCATATAACCCATAGAAATATTTTAAAAAAATACAGCTACGTTAAAGTTTTTTGATAATAAATTCTCTAATTCTATTTCACACATCAAATAATCGTTGTATATTTTTTTCCATTTACTAATGATGGGTTAGGATTTCGACATTCGATTATATGTATACTAAAACATCATCTATTTGAGAATGGACGAATTACATGGATAATGAATGCATGCACAACTATCTCATAATCCCTTCTGTTAATTGGTTTCGAAGTCTGACCCGATACCTTTGAAACAAATAAATTAGGAAGAATTTTGGAGGAGGAAGAAGAAGAAATACAAGCAACTTGGGTTAATAATTATAATAACCAACATGTCAATTGGGCAATCTTAAATTCTTAATCCTGCCGGTTAGTTTCATGAACCAATCCACCCACGCAAGCGTACACGCGCGGAACACATGCTCGAATGCATGGACTGACCGGAGAAAAAAACAAAGTGATTGACAATGTAAAAGATGGATGAAAATGACATTTCCTTATCTTCTAAGAGAATCCGATATATGTACACATTTGAAGTGACAACTTATATCATAGTTCAACAAGCAGTTTGTATATTCTTCTGTTCATCCATGTTTTTTTTAATTAAGGAGGGGATAGATTGATCCTCCGTATGCACTGTCACGACATTATGTTAATTGTTATGATCCACTCTCCCTTTCAGACGCGACAACAATTTGTATTAAATTGATTGCTAGTTAGTCGAAAGATAGTTCAGCACAAAAAACATATTATCATAACTAATTTATTTTCAAAGTATAATAAAGATAGGAGCTTAATTATGCCAAACAAAATCTAAAAATAAGGGCTGGCTGCTCGGAATGTAGGATTTTCTTATAAAATCTTTACAGGAATTAGTTTAATTCATAAGAAAATTCTTAGAAAATTATTCATTCCAAAGAAGGCCTAAAACTATAATATCGTAGACAGTAGGATTTATTCGGTTTGGAGGAATTTCAACATATAGAAATAGAAAAGATAGAGAAATAGAAATGAACACGCACACTTCTATTCGAAAGAATTTTTCAAGAGGTTTGATCAAATTTTTTCTATGTGTTCTTTTTACAACTTGTACAAAAGGAAAACTTCTTCTGATTTTCCCATATTTACATTCGTACAAACCGAGTAACACTCAAGAACTTTTTCAGCAAAATACTCTTAACAAAATTTAATATCACACATGACAAAAAGATATAGTATCATTTGTAATTTAATATATCTATCTATCCAACTCAAGGGTAGGTTGATTGTGCAATGTTGCACAAATGCACACGTCTCCATGGGTTGGGTGGAGTCGTTTAGTTAGGTTATGTGATTAGCTAGGCAGGCAAATTAAGTGATCTCTCGATCGGCAGGTGATTTATAAATATAATGGCCGGCGACTAAGCAAAAGTAAATGACATGACATGACAGCCGTGGACGAGAAAACCAATACGTCAGCATGACATCACGTGCGATCCATTTCTTTTCTAAGATTAAGATATTTTACCTCGGTTTCCTTTAGTACGCTTTTCAAACTACTAAACGGTGTGTTTCGCGTAAAAACTTTCTATACAAAAGTTGTTTTAAAATATCAAATATATCCATTTGTCAAGTTTATAATAATTAAAACTTAATCAATCATGTGTTAATGATTTTTCTTGTTTTACATACATCAATTTAATTTTTATCTTCACTAGAAAAATTGTTCGTGCGTTGCAACTAGTGAAGTCTATTCTAACCTTATTACTACTATATGGTTTAGATAAGGTGAAATTCACTGTGGCAATTTCATTTGGATGTATTTTCTTTTTAAAAATTATGAGCTATGGTTAGGAGTCTAATCGTTTCGAGTTAGTATATATGCCAGTTTTTTTTAAAAGAGATTTCTTATATGACTGCTTTTGTATTTGCAAAAGTGAACTAACTTAAAAGTCGACTCAAATAAGTACATGTATTTCCAAAAACGAACGAATTTAAAAACCAACTCATATACGGATGACGTACTAAAGTACTAATAAAAAAACATCTTTAATTTTTATAATAGTAGAGATCAGCTTCAAACTCGGATTGAAAGCCTCCATTGATGATCACTCAATTCATCACCATCGAGAGGTCCATCGATCCTCAGCTATAGATAAGCTGTACAAGAAAATCGTACGACGCCATTGCCATCAATTCTGTGGAGCCCACATAAGAGATGAATTGACACGTCAGCTACCGGCGTCTAAGTACGTGTATTAGGTACGTATAGTGTATGTACATGTACGTACGTGTACACGCACAGTTTATCTAGTGTTGCATTCAGGCATTCAGCATTGTATGATGTATGCAAACGCAAAGGAGTCGTCCATATCTGACGACACAAGCAGGCAGTACAGTTTGAACCATATACTCCTGCACGTACGGACAGATAATTAATATATACTATAGACATAATTATTTTTTAACAAAGTAAGTGTACAGATTATATATAATTAATCACGGATCCTAATTAATACACTAATGTACTTACCTGTGTATCTCTTAATTTATATATACCAATTGTGTGTGTTCTGGCAACCTAATATTTCTGGTTAATTGTGTGTGTGATATATTCATATATATATATGAGTTTCTTATTAAATAATCCTAAGGGAGATATATATACACACATGCAGAGCAGAACGAGATTAATTGAACTGGCAGTAACAGAGATATAAAAATATATATATGCACGCTATATGAAACAAATTAAACAAGAGAAATAAGGTGCTTTTGTTGGCTGGTTTCATCAAGTATTAGTTGCTATCTTCTCTTAATTTAATTAGTTGTTTAGGTTTGGTATAAGAATATATTATATACTGAAATTGGATTGCATGCATGCATATATACAAGGGTCGATCATGTGTACTAATGCTAGATAGTAGCTAAATGCAATGCATCATTAGAGGTCAACTCATTGGCATGTATTTTAGCTTTGACCTTTACCTGTATAATAATGTGCTCATTGGAAGAGAAAGGTGTAGCCAACAATGCATGCCAGGTCTGTTGCTGGCCAGAGAAGAATCAAACCCAAATTTTGCATATTTGGATGCTGAACATATATACAACAGACCGGACATAGTGCTTCATGGGTATCTGGAATTTAATCATGTGTCTTACTAATTAATTGACATTTTGGAAGGATCAACCAACTGTGGTGTCTCCAGGGCCCCCTTCTTTTGTATCCAAGGGAGGAAACCCTATTAATTATGTTTATCTTGTAATAACACATCCTTTAATTGTTTTCTCTTTTGAGTGGCTATTGGCTCCTGAAAAGGGTGGACATTGTGGTTGGATTAAGACACTGATGTTTCTTAACTATTATTGCCATCGAACCATTACAAAAGTACACGGTAGGGAATTTGAAATTATATATGTTCATACCGTGTACTTTTAATTTGTAATAGTATGTGCTATATATACAGCAACATAAATATATGTTTACACAATCCAATTGATAATCAACTATATATATATATTTGCATCTCCCCTGCTCTATCAATATACACAAAGGCAAAGCATATGCCTTAATTAATTTGCTTAAAAAATATATACTAGTATATATTAGCGGCTAGTCCAAACCATACTTTGTTTTCTTGCAGGACCCAATTAATTCCCAACCTAAATCCTGCCAAAACACAACAAGTTGAGCAAAATTAATTAACAAGAAGAAACAGTGATAATACTTAATTTCTTCTGAACCCAAAATACCCAACAACAATACAAGCACTAGATAACCTTCTTTTTTTTTCTTCAAATTGACTTGGACCAATGATGAAACACGTAAAGATCAAACACCAATTAATTAACAAAAATCAATATAAAACCGCGCTCCAAAACCAGTCGCAGAGACCGATCAACCCCGATCCAATCACATATCGTATTCGACCTTTATAAAAAAAGTCTAATTATTGCCTAGCTTTTTCCATGGCCTTGTAACCACTCCCCTTATATTTCTTGTACAAGCACTCCACCTCAACTAAGCTAGCTACTACAAGTCCTAATACTTTTGCTACCTATAGCTAGCTAGCTTCCGGTCAGAAGAAGCTAAGGAGAATTAGAAGCTATGTCTACCTAGCTTGGAGGAAGAAGAAGAAGAGGAGGAGGGATTGCGGCGCGATCGATCGACACGCGTCGTCTACCGATAAATTCCTCGCAAAATCAATCGATATCATATCGATCGAGTCTAGAGGTGATGAGATCAGATGTGAAGTACTTGAGGAGCTGATTTGGTGATAGGATCGATTTAATTGCTAGCTGAGGTGATCATCATCAAGGAGAAGAAAGAGATAGTTTATTTGCTACTGGGGATCAGTGTGTTTGCATGGGGGATAGGCCATGGCAGCAGCAGCTGCAGCCACATGATCAGCAGGCGGCTTCTTGCTCAGTCACGGCCGGGATGATGATGCAAGCTTCTGCGACCTCCTCCTCCATCCATGGCAACAACATCATGTAAAAACCCTAACTCCTATACGACTTGTGCCTTTTTTTTTCCTCCCTAATTCGATCTTGTTTTATCAGAACAAATTTGAAGCACCTTGCTCAATGTTTAGCTTCTTGATCCCCTTTTTTGTCTTATCATCAGAACTGGAGCTTTAATTAACTCCACAATTCTCTCTCTCTCTCTCTCTCTCTCTCTCTCTCTCTCTCTCTCTCTCTCTCTTGATGCTGTCTTTCTTGGCAGTTTAATTTGTTGTCTCTTTTACTTTTCTTTCGAGATTATGGAGTGCTTTTTTGAACTTTCAAGATTACAGAATTGTTTTTCATGTTTTAATTTGTATGATGCATGAATGGGTTGATTACTAATGGTGCATGTTTGCGCAAGATAAGTAACTTTATCCTGGTTATTAAGGGTTTTATTTGGTGTATATTTAAGCATCTCTTAATTAATTTGAAGAGTGGTATTCGAAGTGGGTGTACTTATTGTTTGCTCCAAATTTAATAAAGCGATGGGTGCAACTAATTCTACTAGCTGGTGCCGAGGCTTTTCATTCATTTCCTTAATTTTGATATCTTCTAAGGATTTTTACATTTTCTAATACTGGATTTGTTTAGCAAACAACGTATATTCCAAAAATTCCTTTTTTTATTTTATCCCCTTTCTTGGAGCAGGAAGCTTAGCTTCTCTTACCAAAACCTTAAAATATGCAGAATAATTTAGCAACTACTACAGCTATAGCTACTGTCAGATCAGATGATAATATAATTTTGTGATGATTTCTCCATTTGTATTAATTTGTGCAAGTGCAGCAGAAAGGATCCTGGGGGAGGATACGACATGGCAGAATTGGATCACATCTTCCTCTACCTCAACAGCCAGGATCAAGCATCAGCAGCAATTCAAGAACAACCTCGTAAGCCACATATATATATGCACTTATTACTGTCACCAAATCTTCAGACTTTTCACAAATTATGCATTATATTCTTCTCCGAAAAAAGATGTGATCGACAAGGATGCAGAGGGAGAATAATCTTTCTTTGGTCATATTAATTAATTAATTTCATCAGATATATAGCAAGCAGGCCGGCAAGCATCTCATCTAGCTACCTCGATTTTGACAAGTGAATATATATGGTCATTATCGAATTTTTCGACGACAGATATGGAGTATTAGCTATCTATAGAGATCGATGAGCAGGCAGCGATGGTGATCCATCTTCTTTTTTCCTTCTATTTGATCGCCTCAAAGCTTTACTCACTGACATGTCATTTTCCCAAAATTTTCTCTAGATGGGGAGGAGAGAGTGACGTATAACAAACACCTGGAGATGTGTGTCGTTCTTGCTAGGATGATTATCGTATATACACATATATGTAATGCTAAAGCAAGCTAGATATATGCATTTTTAACCTTAATCATCCAGAGACATTTGCAACAACGATTTGCATATATATGTATATATACTACTGCTAGCTAGCTAGCTATTTACATATCTAGGACATCAAACATGAACACACACATATATATTCTCTCCCTTTTGTTCACTTTTTCATACTTTTAATTTACATTAGGACCATAAGTGTGAAACAACAGAACTTACAACCACATGCATGTTGACATGCTGTTACACCATTTGATATATGTGTTAATATATTAATTAATGCCATGCATTACATATAGTTAATTTGGACAATTTAGTTCATCAACATGCATATATTTTTGGACATATGTTTCTCAGTATTATTCTGAATTGCTACTTTACTGATCTCTACATGGATGCAGAAACCCTCAACATCTTCCCTTCACAGCCAATGCACGCCGGCGAGCCTTCTCCCAAGGGATCATCATCCATGGCGGCTATCAACTCGGCGCCGTCCAATAACGCCCTCGCCATCGCCGCCGGCTCTTCCAAGCGGCCGCCGGCGGCGGCGGCGGCCGGCGGCCAGCCGTCGAGGCTGAATAATCCGGCCGATCAGCCGTCGGCCTCCGGGAAGGACGGCAAGGCTGCCGTCGTCAAGGTAACTTAATTAGCTCCGATGATCTCATCATCTTCGTCTTCAGCTGATCTACGACATTCTGAGTGGCTCAAGCTCACGCATGAGTTTGTGTGTGTGTGTGGTCGTCTCGATCGGCCGATCAGAAAGAAGGCGGCGGCGGCGGCGGGAAGCATCACGGCGGCGCATCGTCGGCGGCGGCGTCGGAGCACGAGGGCCCCAAGACGCCGGACGCCAAGACGCTGCGGAGGCTTGCACAGAACAGGGAGGCAGCCAGGAAAAGCAGGCTAAGGAAGAAGGTAATTTGTTAATTAATTAAGTTGCAGTTAATTATAGTTAATTACTCTTGCTCTACCTGGCTGGTAGGGTAGCTGTAAATCGAGATTAATTAATTACCTGTTGTTTAATTAACCGCACTGCCATTTCACCCTACTTTACGACAGCACAGGAGTATAGACTTGTGCAGTTACGACGTTCTTACTCCAAATTTAAGTCAAAATTAAAATAACTAACATGTGTCATGTCGGATATAAAATAAAGTCAAAATTAAACAAATGAGTTTGCATGCATGTGAGTGTGGGGGTACGGAGAATTACTTACCACCTAAAATGGAATATAGATGTGCAACATTACTGGCTACGTCTATCTGAAAATTACGTTTCTCATGACACTTAATTAACTATGCTTTTTTTTTTAAATTGTGTCTCGTATATGGATCAATGTGTATATAGGCTTACATTCAAAATCTGGAGACAAGCAGGATCAGACTGTCCCAGCTGGAACAGGAGTTGGTGCAAAGATCAAGAACTCAGGTACAGCATATATACATGCAAATGCTCCTGAACTATACGATGTTTTCAGTAAACTAATTAATTGATTGATTTGTTTCATGATGCATGTCTAACGCACGTATCAACATAGGGTGCAATTTTGGGTGGTGGAGCTTTTTCTGCCGGCATTGGAGGACAAAGCCCAGGTATATATAATCATATATGCATGCATACGATCAAACCAACCCTAATTAATTATTATAATTAAATCCATATAATACTCAAAACCACATAATCACCAACAAATTCTCTAATTAATTTGTTTACTCGTTAATTAATTCATCATTAGATCAAATATGTCAGGAATGAATGCAGATGTCCATGTGCAAAAACACACAACTCTTAATTTTTAAAATACATAATGGAAACAACTAAAATTTTTAATGAATGCTTCCTCTGTTTCACATTATTTACGTTGGGTTTTAAATAGATTTATACATAGATCCACGTATGTATTTTATATATGTGTTCAAAACTTCAAATTCATATGAATGTTAGTGAATCTAGACTTAAAGGATTAAGAGAAAAAAAAGAACATATTATAATGTGTAAGGGAGACTAATCATCATCGTCGTCGTCATCGTCATCGTCATCATGCAGAGGCGGCGTGGTTCGACGGCGAGTACGCGCGGTGGGTGGAGAGCCACGAGAGGATGATGGCTCACATGCGGGCGGCGGTGGAGGAGCAGCCGCAGCACGGCGGCGTGGCGGCGGCGGCGGCGGAGGCGCAGCTACGGCAGCTGGTGGACGCGGCGGTGGCGCACCACGGCGTGCTGGTGGAGCTCAAGGCCGCCGTGGCCAGCGCCGACGTCTTCCACCTCGTCTCCGGGACGTGGCTGCCCGCCGCCGAGCGCTGCTTCCTCTGGATTGGTGGCTTCCGCCCATCCGAGCTCATCAAGGTTAGCACATAATTAATTGAATATCTTATATAATCAATTTATAGATAATTATTTAAAGCCGGCTTTATATATTATATATTAAGGATTCACTACCACAAAATATCATCACTGATGACTTATCACTGACGGTTTAGTGTAAACCAATGGTGATATATATAGAGAGATAGTACTAATGCCAGTTCACCATGGTTTTACCCACCCAAACGGATCTGAACTGGCAGTGATATTTTTACTTGACGTTTTAGATGTTGATATGATTTATCATTACCTTTTCAAATCAAATTAATGTTTATGAAAATTATTATAAATACTCCCTCTGTCCCATAATAATATATATATAAGGGACTATTCCCTTTTTATAAGATTAAGAATAGCGAGAGAAGACTAAAATACCCCTATTAAATGAGATTTGGTTTGGGTGAGGGGATAGTTGAGGGTCAAAATAGGTAGAAATTTGAATTGAAGTTGATGGATGTGACTGACAGTAGTACACAAAAATCTTTGTGAGACAATTAGAAAGGGCAAAATCCCTTGTATTATGTGATAGAGGGAGTATAACTATATGAAAGAGTTTTCATAACAAATAATCCACTAATATAGGGCCTTTCATTTTGATGTCATTTTCAACCATACCATTTTTTTCGCAAAGTTGCTAAAAAAATATCCACGTTTAGTGTGTTGCCAAATTTGATCAATACATAAAAAATCCTGCCAAAATTTTGGCAATATTGCCATCTTACCAAAATTTTAGCATTGCCAAAACTTGGTAAGGTTTATTTTGGCTATAATCTGAACAGACCCATAATCTCGATGTTTTGAATTGCAATATACTTTTTTTTTGCATATATTGATGAGTTAGGATTTCTTCATTTTTAACTGGATAAATTAGCACGTCATCCTTCTGAAAGCAGAGGTAAATTATAAAAGATGTGTTGTAGTATAGGCACCCTTTAGATTTTGAGATACTAGCTAGATTATATTGGATTTTTAGGGTTTAAGGGCGTCTACAATATATGATAGACATGATATAGTCAGATAATTTTGTGAAACGCGTTTAGTTATTGGACATGTTGGAGTACGTATTTGGCTAGCTGCGCATGCCGCGCTCTACATATATAATACATAAAAACTTAAAAATAAAGAGAGATGGGTTTATACAATGTAATAGCTAATGAAGGGGAGGATGGCATCAAAATATATGGTAATAATTTTTAAAGAAAATAGCAACATATATAGACTATATGGTGTCATTCATCACTATATACAAATTAAATATGTTAATATGATAAAATTCGGTTTACGTTAAAAATAAAAAAATAAAACCCATTGTCTATGTTCCAATATGGGTATGTAGAATATGGACCGAGAGACAGAGGAAGGTGAACCAAGAAAATACATGCTAGCTTCAAGTTTGACTAAGTTTGTAGAAAAAAAATAATATTTTTAACTCAACACAAATTTATTATGAAAAATATATTCAATTATTGATTTAATGAAACTAAATTGATATTATATATATTACTATATTTATGCATAAACTTAGTTAAATTTGAAGTAGTTTGACTTTGACCAAAATCAAAACGTCTTACAACCAGATCTGTTTAATATACTAGAGCGACAGAAGTAGCAGTATATTAGCTAGCTAGTATACTAGGTTAATATACTGCATCTGTTTCAGATGGAGTATTAATTAACTAGATCGACATAACTGTATATTACTCATATATTGCATGAGCTCAGGTTTCCATAAGCTTGAGTTCACCAATTAACCTACTACTCCCTCCGTTTCAAAATGTTTGACACCGTTGACTTTTTAGCATATGTTTGATCATTCGTCTTATTCAAAAACTTTTGTAAAATATGTAAAATTATATGCCTACATAAAAATATATTTAACAATGAATTAAATGATATGAAAAGAATTAATAATTACTTAAATTTTTTGAATAAGACGAACGGTCAAACATATGCTAAAAAGTCAACGGCGCCAAACATTTCGAAACGGAGGGAGTATATAGCTAGCTAACTAGCTACCTGCTCCTCCCGATATTTTTTTTCTTTTTTGTTACGTACGTTTTTAGTATATTTTGACTAAAAAATGTCATCATTCTTCCTCCGAGATGCACAGCAACATATACATGCATGTTTGTTTGCAGCACGTTTCTTCCATCATTCCATGCGTGCCTTCGGTTACTTCGTTCGTCCTCGTGCATGCATGCATATACATATAATATTTGCTTATATCAGCCAGTGCACAACCAAACACGCTGCTCACTATACATGGATGCAGGCAACCAAACACGCCCTAAACATGTACTCCCTCCGGTTTCAAATTAGTTGACGTTTGGAGCTTAGACCTTTTGGATGATAAAACTTGGCGTTTTAGCTTCCATGTGATTAATTTAAACTGATTTACCCATGTATGGCTGCATGCATGCATCAACTCCGGCACAAGACAGTAAAAAGATGCTTTGGGACTAGCAGCCAGCCACTAGGTTAAGAGGATGTGCTTGTTAGATGTGCCATCCTAATGTATTTAATATGGATAAAACATGAATATGCACCCTAACTAACCATTTCTAAGTATGTGAGATCCTGTCCAAAACTTCAATTAATTTAAAACCGGAGGGAGTACAATTAATAGCTTTACATATATTTAATAAAATACCTGAAATACCCTATATATACGTGCAATATTTATGGATCTGTTAGTGCTCTAAATGTATAAGTATATATATATATATATATATATATATATATATATATATATATATATATATATATATATATATATATATATATATATATGGAGTATATATTTAAGTTTTAGTAGTGTGTGTAGTAGCCCTATACATACATAGATTTCCATTCATGCATAATTGCAAAAAATAAAAAAAGTAATTGGAAAGAAGCTTGTTAGACAGTATTCCATAGTACACCAGAGTCCAGACACATATATTAGGTACTCCAACTAGAAAGAAAGATGTATGATGGGTTAGCTAGCTATCTATCTTAAAATATTGATTTAAGTAGGTGAGAGGTCCCAGTTGATGGAACAGTTAGGCTCTTGGAAGTCTTTGATGGCTACTAATATGTGGTTGTTATTTTCTGTGTTGGAAGAAAGTAGTGTGCAGTAATGTACAACGGAGAGTTGGTGAAGGAGGCAAGTTAGATAAGAGTGATCAACGATGTAGATGGGGATGGCTAATTTACCAATAATGCATGTAGAGAGGATGTGTATACATACTTTAGCAAGCTAATTCTTCTAGATGGACAGAGTCCTAGCTACTATCTAATACTTGCAAATCTCATAAAAAGCTAGCTAGCTACATTATATTATAGTAGTACTATCATATATATCTCATAAAAAGTAGCTAACTAGTTAGTAATTAGATATACCCTTGTTAATTAGGTACTCTAATTTTCTTTGCGTGTTCCATCATCAATATGGTATTTCTAAGATATTATTTTTACGTGTCGTCCCATTACCGATATGATATTATTTTTATATAAAGTAAGTATAACTTCTGATCTCTATACTAATTAATACACTCATAGCAATATTTGTGAGTATTAATACTCATAGTCATAGTCATGCATCCACGACTCTATCATACTAATATAATATTATTAAGTGATACTACATGAACTCGAATAGTTATATTTGATTATCTTGCGAACCTATATATAATATGATTACATAACTATAAATATTCTTCATTATTATTGTCGAAAACTAATTGAAATAAAATGATTATGTTGCTACTAGATGATGGCGCGGCACGCGGAGCCATTGACGGAGCAACAGGCGGCGGGTGTGTACGGTGTGCAGCAGTCGGCGAGGGAGAGGGAGGAGGCACTTGACCGCGACCTCCACGCCACCCACCACGCCCTCTCCGATGCCGTCTCCTCGGACTCACTCCTGCTCTTCCCTCCCGGCACCGGTGCCACCGCATACTCCGACGTCGCCATGGCTCACCTCTCCCTTGCCATCTCCAATCTCTCCTCCCTCGAAGCCTTCGTCAGGCAGGTACGTTGTTAATTACTCCATCCATTCAAAAATGTATAACGCCGTTAACTTTTTTACATCGTTTGACAATTAGTCATATTCAAAAAAAATATTATGACTTGTTTTATTTCAAATAAAATATAATCTTTACTTATACTTTTATATATTTATACTAATTTTTTAATAAGACGAATTTGAACGAAAAATCAACAGTGCCATATATTTTGAAAGGGAGGGAGCTAAGTAGTTACCACACGTGATTCGATCGGCTTGCTAATTGTAGTTGATTTTTGTTTTTAATTCAGTTGATGGCTGCATTAGGTTGGTTAGTTGGCTCTGGATTAAGTGGTGGATTGTACAAAACTGTGTGGCTGCTTAGGCTAATTGATTATCTAGCCAGCTAGCTATAGCTGTTGTACTGTCTCCTTTTAATCCTATAACTAAGAAACCCTATCCACTAATGATCAATGGTATTGGCTAGCTGGGCATTTTAATTTGTTCTGTTCCCTTCAACAAGAGCCCATACTTAGCTAGCACCTAGCTAGCTAGAGCCAGGCAATTGGTTAATAATTAATTAATTACAGTGATTGAAATAAAACCTGAAATTGGATAATCTTTTTCTTATTAACAGCTAGATCTCTAATTAACTAAACTTGCAAAAGGCATTTAGTTTCGTTACCACACAAGTTTAACTAATACAACGACCACCGTCTTAAAATATAACAAACTAGAACTGAAAAGGGCATATTCTATCACTACGAAACTAGTCAAACATTTGTTCAAATTTGTATTATTAAGATGTGTTCTATCCAATATTTATATTTTATTTTAGGATGGAAATAGTAATTACTTGAATAACTCCGTATATATATACTATTTGTATGATAAAGAAACATAATGGCGAGTGACTCTTTTAATATGGATCTAATAACATTCATTTTGTGTTATAAAAATTCACACTAATAGGATGATTGTTGCTCAAACTTTTGTCCTAACAAAATAAAATACTTGTTAGAACCTCATTGGTTGCTCATACTCTCTAATAAACCAAAACGGCTTATTAGGGAATAAAAAATAATTTATAGTTAAAACTTTTAGGGTGAATAGCCAGTTCAGTCCTTCAATTTTTGTTCATGAGTCGAATTAGTCCTTCATGTTTTATAATGTCCAACCAAGACCCTAAAAATTATCATGCGGCTTAATATAGTCCTTAGAGCCACTTAAAACACCACGTGGACATGCCACGTCATTCGTGCATGTAAGATAACATTTAAATGTCCATTTTAACCTTCAATTTTCTATCAAATAAAGAAAAGAAAAACAAGAAGAAGCAATCATAAAACAAAGAAAAATGTTAATTTTTTTTATCTATCAATGCTACATATTTTTGCCAATGGTCAAAAGCTTTTTTTTTGTGTGTTTTCTCAATAGTTTTCCTTTATTTCCTATGAAAACATAAGGGTGTAAAGGACATTTAAATATTGAATTTGCATGCATAGATGATGTGACATGTACACATGGCATATTTAGAGGGTTAAAGGACTATATTGAATCACACAATGAACTTAAGGTACTTGTTTGGACAATACGAAATGACAGGGACTAAATTGATCCTTAAGCGAAAGTTCAAGGATCATATTGGGTATTCACCCAAACTTTTATATATTTGTTCGCAGCGATTTAAAAGCACTAAAATGAAATCACAGTGAAAATATCTTAAAATCAAGTTTAAAAATTTAAATTTTAGCTTCTGCTTTTGCTTGGATTTATTATTAGGCCAACCGACGAGGCTCTTATACAACTTTAAATATAATGCACGAGTACTCTACTGACTGATGAACTGATGACGTACATGCGTATGATCCAGGCGGACGCGCTGAGGCTGCAGACGCTGTACAAGCTGCCGCAGATACTGACGGCGAGGCAGTCGGCGCGGTGCTTCCTCGCCATCGCCGACCACTCCCACCGCCTCCGCGCCCTCACCTCCCTCTGGCTCTCGCGCCCGCGCCACCCCGACCAACCCGCCCCTCCTCCGCCTCCGCCATCCATCAACCCTAGAAATTAGACCACATCCATCCACTGGCCCTGGAGATCCAATGGCCCAGCATCTACACTGCTACACCACTGCAGTTTTACATACAGACAGACAGACAGGAACAGATTAGTTTCAAAAGTTTCAGAATACTACAGTGCATAGAGAGATGATCAATCGATCAGGCCTTAATTTGCTTCTTTGACAAGATCAGATGATTTCATTTTTAAATTAGGAGGGTAGCAGCATGCTGTAATTGTGCATATAATGTATAAGAAACAGAAACTAAGCTGTATACTAGTAGCTGCTGATGATAATTACTAGTCAGTATGAAAATAAGTGCTGAGATTGATGATGACACTGTAATGTTTTTGTCTTGTGGCATATGGTTTGACTGACTTTGCTTCAGAGTTCAGACTTCAGACACAGAATAGAGACTAGAGAGTTTAGGTATGCCGCACTGTCATCTTCTTCCTTTCTTGTCTCAACTGCAAATTACTTCAGTTGCAAGGTTAGTAGTAGGTGAAATTTGGGACAGATTAACAATGGGGGGCTTAGTTAACAGGTAACGAATGTCAATGTTACACTCATGCATCTTCCCAATCTTTGGGAAAACACATATATTGAGTTACAGACAGAATGTGGTATTTCTAGGCTCCCCCACTCATAAAAATGTGATCTTGTCATGTGGCATGCCTATGAGTTTCACAACAAGCACACCAAGAAATGCCATCACAAAGATGAGTTTCCTCTGCTGTTATAGTCTATCAAGAGCATCAACAATGGCCTTGCGAAACGCGTCGTTGTGGAGGAAAAACGACGATACGTGCCCTCCGGTTACCCACCGGACCTCTGAACCTGGCCATGCCTTTTGGAGCTCCATTATCGAATGTTTGGGGATGTAGCCGTCATCCTGAAAATAAAGAGAACATTTGCTTCAGACCAAGCTCCATTAAATATTATATGATAACGAAAAAAGCATATTGATATCTGAAAGTACAGAATTAAGCAGATGACAACAGTACTACAGAGAGGCGTGGGTAATTATTGGAAAGGAGCAACTAAGATGATGTGTTGCTGCAAATGACGCAGGCAATAAATCTATTTTGAATGAATGCAAAAATAAGATATGAGTAATAGTAGGAAACCAGAATGCACTAGTACTGGAAGGTGATAATGAGTTACTCTTATCAAGAAATTTACGTGCTAGGCTGAAATATATAAGACACAGGAAGGGTAAATCATGTTTGAGAAATGATGATAGAACATTGACACTAACCGTTGCACCAACAAAAATGACAGCCTGTGGGTTCTTTGGCACTGGAAATCGAGTGACGTCAGTCAAAGACAGCACTGATCGCAACCTCTCTCTTACTTGCTCAATAGTGATTCCTGATTTCTGGGCCATGTCTTCTGTCAAAGAAGTTACGTCTTGGGCCAATGTTGCTGCATCTTTCCTCAATGCATCCCAAGCTGTGGCATGCCTGTAGAGCCCGTCACAGAAAGGCACCACAGCAGAATGCGGAGCAAGAAATGGCAGCGTAGCAATTGGTGTTGGGTGCAAGGATCCAACCATTGCAGCATGTACACCACCTATGTAATTAGCATGAGACGCTTGTAAGAAATAACAGCAATTTTCATATGTAGATGGTACTTAACTACTGTCAAGATAAAGTTTTTTCCCAAAAAAAGCCATGCCAGAGTTAACCTCATTATCTATCATATAGCATTTTTTTCCGTGTCAATAAGCAATCCAAATAAATAGAAAAAGGAGCGCTTCCGCAAGAGAGAAATTAATAGAAGGGGCCAAAGTACTTGAGGTGAAATAAAAGATATTTCCTTGAGAAAAATCATCTCAGTTACCAGTCTTAGGGAAAAATGTATCACATCAATACTTGTAAAGGAATCTTGAAACGAAGTTGCCACGAAAATGGGGGTGAGTTTGATAAATGGGATGCTGCAGGTTGCTTAAGACTTAAAGCATTCACATTATTCAATTATAGATGAAAACTTTAGAATTACATACCCATGCTGAGCCCGCATATGCCCATCTTGCCATAACCAGCCTCATTCTGCAACCAGTACAGAAGGCTGCGAGCTTCATCAATAGTAGCTTTTCCTAATAGTAGCAAGTCACTCACACACTGAAGCTTTGACCCATGCTGCATGCTTGGTCGCCGTTGTCCATAATAAGGGCTGGAATTCATTTGAGAAATCAGATCTTGCGGGTTAGGAAAAAAGCTTTGGTATCAAAGGTGGCGTAAGACAACCATTCTGGCATTCTATACAAGCCTCACCTCTCAAGAACCATAGTTGCAATGTTGTCCTTCAAAAGAGGTCCACCAAGTCGAAGTCTTCTCTCAAACGAGTGATCACCAGTGCCTGTAATATTAGATAAAAGTTTAACTTGACCCATTGTATTAGAAGCCCAGATCAAATTTCAACAGCTGGACAAAGAACATTTTTGCAACTCATCAGTTAATAACATGGCATGATATGAAATATAATATTTAGAACCAGAAAGCAGATCACTCAATATGGAAAGTTGAAACATCAAATCTAGTCAACTTTTATTTCTGTCCGATGGGATGAAATAAACAACATTCAGCTAGTGTACAAACATCAATATCTAAAGGCTTGAAAATAGTCTCTTATATAGAAAAAAACATGTAGATGCATGGTACATCAAAGTATAGAACAAATAAATAGGATTAAACTGTTGTACCTGCCAGATGAATCACACAGGCCATCTTCTCAGGTGAAACTGACTTAGGTGTAAGAAAAGCAACTCTTGCATTGTGACTCTCAGGAGGCAATGCTTCAATTAGCCGTGGATCGCATGTAGTCCTGAAAACACCCTCTCGCAGACAAGAACTCTTTGTCTCCCAAACCGTTTTCCACATGGGTTGCACGGCAGTTGGTGGCCAGTTCTGGCAACGTGCTTCAGGGAATAACTGTTTCACCATCTTCTCTAACAAATCAAGTTTGGTGCCTCCCCATCCTTTCGAGAAAAATGGCGTTCCTAATTTGGTGCGATGAAGGACGGTACCATATATGTGGTCCAGTACATAATGTACTAGCCCAAGATTCACCGATACCATATCCAATGAATGCTAGAATAATGTAAGTTTCTTAGGCTTGGTTATAAATTACAGCCGTGGACACTGAGATGCCTGCAACACAAAGTTTAGCACAGAAGCTAGTCAACAAGTTGAGGGTTGAGGTGCATTGAACTGTAAAGGAAAAATACTGATCAGCATGTGTTAAGCTAACCTAGCCAGTAAAAATGCTTCTTTGAGCATATGTTGTGCATAACATATGATGGATAACTACATTTGACAAAAGTAAAATAGGACAGTACAACTTGGAATTCCACGACGCATAACCAATGATAAGATGGCTAAATTTGAGCAAAATCATAACAGGATGGTAAACTAAGGATTTCCAGGAGACGGTAATTCTATAACTCCTTGGTGTCATTGTGTGCCCTATGAGGCAATGAGCAGAAGCAAACACTCCCCAGAACAATGCAGCTCAATTTCATCAGATAGATGCACCCGCAGAAAGTACCAACAATTCCAGGGCAGCTAAAAGCAACATCTTTCTTGTTAGCCAGGTGAAGAACCTAACCATCCAGATCTGGGGAAAAAAAAACAACCCGACCAATTGAGCTCATCAACAACGTTACATCTCAACGGCGCAATGCAGGTGCGGAGGTGCCAAGATAAGCCAAACTAGTCTAAATTTTATATTTCACCACGCAATTCGAAAACTATCTCCGCAAACAAACTCTCTGTCCTCCCCCAACCAAGCGAACAACGGATCGGTTCAGAAATCAACCACTGTATATAGAACAATAAAAACAAAAAGAATTAACATCTGGGACACACGGGGCGCCGGTTCCAGCACCGCACCTGGTCGAATCCGCGGCCCGCGGCGAGACGCCGTTCCTTTTGCCGGGAGCCAGACAAGAATCCACCACGGGGGGGCAGACAGACGCGCGAGACCAAGAATCGGGGGAGGGGAGGGGAGGAGAGATCCCAGGTGGCAAGAATCCCCTCGATCGATCCGCGGCGGTCGCGGGGCGGCGGGGAGGCGGGAGGTGGGGTCAGAGGGTGGGGGAGTCGCCTGCGGTGGGGACGCGGCGGGAGGAGGAGGAGGAGTGGGCTGTGATTGGGGGTTCCGCCATTGGAGAGGAGGGGAGAGAAGCGAAGCGGTGGGCACCGCGGCGGTAGTGGCGGGCGGGCGTACGGGCGCCGGATTTGGGAAGCGGGTTTCCAGATCCGGATCCGGATGCTGCTCTGAGGCGGGGCAGGTGGGGCCCGCTCTTCAGTGAGTAGAGCGGAGCGGGGCACGAGGCACGAGGCGCGAGGGGATAAGGTGGGGCCCACCTGCGGCCCACGGAAAGGAGGAAGGTCTGGTTTGGTTTTGCTTTGGGCCGGGCTGCAAACCAACTTGGGCTGAGTTCTTTTTTTTTTCATTTTCCCAAGGAATAAGTTCACTTTGGCTTCCTTAACTGGAGGCTGAATCTAATTCGTATCCCCAAACCATAATACCGGATATCTCGACCCTCAACTGTTGAAACTAGTGCAATTTGACTTCTTCGGTGGTTTTGGAAGACAGTTCCGCTGACGTGGCGCCTACATGGCTATATTGACCCGGTCTTTGTTCCACGTGGCTGTGATGTGGCGCTTATGTGGCATTAGAATTAAAATAAATATGTGTAGGGCCATTTGTCATTCCACTATATATATATATATATATATATATATATATATATATATATAATGGAGAATTTAGATAATATACCATCCAATACGCATGCCTTATATGTTTTACCACCTAATCCGCACGCCTTCTACAATATACCATCGTGACTGCGAATTCTTCTATTTCGTAGCACTTTCTTCACTTTTTCCTATATTTCTCCTCGGCGACAACGGTGACCTCGACCTCATGGACAACAATGGCAACCTCCCCTCCCCTCCCCTCGGCGACCTTGACGGCGACGGGAGTACGGATTAGGCCGCACAGAACACGCCCGCAGCACCGAGGGGAAGAAGGGCGACGCGAGGTTGCTGGTGTCGAAGTGGAAAACCCCGCGGCCAGCACGAAGGCGATGATGGCGATGCCAACCACCGATGCCAGCGAGTTGAGCGTGGACGTGAGGCGCGCCTCGGACATGGCCACCGCGGAGGTGCTGATGAGTGCCACGACGGCGATGTGGTCGAGCAGATTGCCACCGCCGCTAGATCTGCCGTGGGAGGGAGGCGAGAGGGGGCGGAGGGAGCCACCGACGCCGCCACCGCTGGATCTGGCGCGAGAGGGAGGCGAGAAGGGGCGGAGGGCCGCTGGCTCCACGCCAGTAGGGAGAGCGCCGCCAGTGGAGCAGGTGGAGGAAGGGGGGAGGGAGTGGCCGAGGCGGTGGTTCCCCTCCCCGTCGCTGATCCCCGTCGTCGTGGAGGAAGGGAGAGGGGGTGACCGAGAGGAACCGATAGGAGCGGTGGATCCCCTTCCCATCGCCGTGGAGGAAGGGGGAGAGAGTGACCGAGGGGAACCGGCAGGAGCGGTGGATCCTCTCCCCGTCGTTGTGGAGGAAGGGGGATGGAGTGGCCGAGGGGAACCGGCAGGGTGCCTTCCCTGTCGCCGCGCCGGCGAGACAGGAGGAAGAGGGGGAGATGGAGCGGCGCCACCGGTGAGGGGGAGAGGGAGCGGCGGCGCTGGTGGGGGACGGGAGGGGAGGGGAGTAGCGGCTGAGAGAGAGGGGGAGAATGGAAATGATTTTAGGATTAGGGTTTAGACTTATGAGTTTTTATATAGATTGGGATCAATCAGGACCGTCCATCAGATCGGACGGCTACTGCTTCTCCCACGTCGGGTCGGGTGCCACTCCCAGGCCGCCCACACTATTGGGCCGCATGTACGCTCCGCGTGAAAAAATTTCACTTTAGATCCCTCAAGTTGTCCCCAAATTGTTCCCAGGCCGACCACACTATTGGGCCACCACATAGGCCGCGTGTACGCTCCACACGGAATAAGTTCGCTTTAGCTCCCTTTATTTGTCCCCTCAAACTCCTAAAACCAATGCAAATCTTTAAATTTTAGTTAACCCGTTGCAACGCATGGGTATATTTGCTAATCTACTTCTACTTATACTACTTAAAAAATCTAAAATGTTTCCATCGTCCGTAATTTATAAAGAGCGAAAAAAACCAGGCAGAAAAAAAAAAAGAAAACGCACCGTAAAAAGAAGAGAACGGCGGAAAAAAAAACAGGCTCAAAAAGTCCGATTCGTACGACACAAAAAAAAATCTGGAAAAAAACAAAAAAAAACACCGGCTGTAATCTTATCTTAACTAATTAAAATATTCATAATTTTCCTTTCATCACAATCTGTTTCATCCATCCGGTGATTTTTTGTCTGTAGGAAAAAGGGGGTCTTGGATCCCTGAAGAAAAGCTCCAAAAATTAAAAAATGACGAACGGAAAACCTCAACGCCAGCCGTCGCCGACGCCACGCGGGAAGTCCTTCGCCACCGCCGGTCGTCACCCACGTGCGCGGGTAGCCCACCCGCCGCCGGTCGTTGCCGACGCGCAAGGGAAGTCCACCGCCTCCGGCCGTCGATGACGCCGCGCGGAAGATGAGAGAGAGACGACGGGGACGGCGCCGGGGCAGGGCTGCTCAAAGGTGGCGCCCTCACCCTTGGGCGAGTGTGCGCACCGGCGAGGAGGCATGCACCGGCGCCGCTGCTTTTCGCCGTCCGCTCCAGTTCTGGCGAGAGGCTTGGGTTTTCGCCGACGGCTGGGAGGGATGGGCTTTTGTCCCTCCGACGTCGGCGGCCGGCTATTCGATAGAAACCCTAAGATCGAACGGCCGGCACTGGCTGGATCGAAACCGGCCCAAGTAGAGGCGCGTGCTGGGCAGCTTCCCCAGCCCAGGTCCAGGTTGCGGCTTGGGGAGGAGGGAGTGCCCGCACGTGCGCATAATATGCCGTGGGCTGACCGGCAGGCCGGGAAAAAGTCTATTCTAGGTCCCTCGGCCGAAGAAAAGTACCAGCTAGGCTGGGAAAAAGTCTGTTCTAGGTCCCTCAGCCGAAGAAAAGAAGTTTAATTTTGTGAAGTAGAAATTTGACGAAGGCTAGAATTAAAAATAAGAAATATTGAAATAATAATAGCGTAGAGTCACGGTCATTGTTGTCGCGGAAGGGAAGCGGACGGCCAGATGCGGCTGCTACCTACCGTGCTACGGTCATCGATCGGCCGTCGATTGGTCTGAGTTTGCTCGCTTATTCGCTGGTCGACCGTGCTGCTGAGCCACCCCGTAGATCTACCCATATCTTCAGAGTCCATGTTGACTCGCACCGTATAAAGGTGGAAATCAAACCGGCTTTGTTTTTTTATCTCCCTTTCCTCGGAACTATATTTCTTTCTATCATTTGAGACTTTTTCTAGCGAGCAAAAGTACCAAAGCAGTGTGAAAATAACTTCGGTTAAAATCAAATATTTTTAGTTTTAATACACCGTAGCGAAGCACGGGTATTTTGCTAGTACAATATAAAATAGAGAAAGTAAGCGATCATCAGATTGATCGGTGTAGATAGATAGTCACATGTTACAGTACAACATGTAGATATATAGATAGTCAGATGTTACAGTTAACATGGAGATTGTTGGACATCACGCTCATGGTTGACTGATGGCTAGACGATCCAGCGAGTGGTTCAAATGTTTCTTCAGAGGATTTAAGTTATTTTTTTTGGTTAGTTTTTCTGTTACGTGCCGACTCCGATCACAATACATGGAATGGACCTTCGGTTTTTATGGTTTCGGCGCAAATCCTTGGCTAGTGAAAGTGAAACAGCTAGCTCCACTGTAAGGCTAAGTTTATTTCAATTGGATCATATGCGTCAGAAAATCCCAAGGAAGGATACAACTTGAGGAAAATTTGATGGTGCTTAAAACAACACTTGTATACGATGCTCATCTCGATCGATCGGCTTGACTGCCTACAATCAATACCTGTTGTTAAGCTTATCAGCGTTCCTAAAACAAACAAACAAACATACAAACACCAACTCCACAGGCAGTAAACTTTCTATCCAAAGTTGAACTGAAAGCCTCCAGGAAAGCCGCCCCCGGGGAATCCTCCTCCTCCATGGAATCCACCATCGTAATGGAATGTGTATTGCTGGCCACCTCCCCCAAAAGGATTGAAACCACCACCTCCTCCTCCTCCCATATTCATCTCATCAAGATCCTCTCCTCGGTCGTATCTTACACGTTTATCTTCGTCCCCAAGAACCTGCAAATTGCCGATTGCGCATTGTTAAAAGACACGCGTGGCATCTGCAGCATGTCGATCTGATTCGAAACAAGCATGCCTATAGCTAAATATGGGTGACCAGAATTTATGTTATTGGGACACTTTTTGTCTCGGACACATGCAGTGTCTAGCATGATATATTTTGTGGATGAAATGCACTTCAGCTAGTTCTTATTCATAGTACAACACCAGGGCTAGAAACTTGGAATGCATGAGAGTATTTTAAATTAACCATATTAATAGAAAATGTCATCTCATAGAACATTAAATACTTAGTACAGTTCAATTTTGTTTATTTATACCTCATAAGCTGCAGCAATTTCTCGAAACATGTTTTCTGCTTCTTCTCGCTTATCTACATTTTTATCTGGATGCCACTGCAGTGCCAACTTCTTGTAGGCACGCTTAATCTCTGCAGCTGATGCCGTCTTTGAAATGCCAAGGATCTTATACCAATCTTTTCTTTTGCTTAACTTAAGCTGCTTTTCAGCTCTCATTAGTGCTTCTCGGATTCCCATGTCCTGAGCATGAACAGTGCAAACCACTGTTACATTTGTACCAAAAAAATACAGAAAAAGGGCAGAGACCAAGTCTGTTTGATAGATAAATCTAATAAAGCATTCCATTAAAAGCACATGACCTTTGGATTCAATTCCTGAGGTTAAAGAAACAGGGAAGCAACAAGTTAACTTCCTATTTGTAATATAGCTGAGAAGCAATTTATGTAACTATCAATATTATTTGAGAACTGTGCTGTAAGGGGCAGCCGTCAAGCGGGGCTCACCCATGTTCGAAATTCTGACCGCCCTCACCTTTTCCACTAGTTTAAAATCCTGAGATCCTGTTGCTTATTCATAAATACATTGGCATAAAGTTCCTCTTCGGTGGCCCACTTTATTATTAGTAGTACTAACAATAGTAATGTGCAAATCTAGTTTTATCAACTCATCCACTGCATGCATAGGTGCTAGAGAAACATATGCAACCTACGAACCCACGCTGCAAAAAGCGGATAACAAAGATTGCTGGCAGAAGGGCACCAAATAGAAATACATCATGGGGAAGTAAAAGTATCATCAGATGACTACCGTAAAAAACAAATAATTGTTTCTGCATATTGTCTATCCAATTGACTAAAACTAGATGTTTCATCCATTTGGAACTATGTTTCACGATAATTTGATTGCAGCACAATTACACTAAAAATATTGTGTTCCCAAATCTAAAAGGAAATGAGATCAGCACACTGCGTAGCCACATAAGCAGATTATTTGATGGGAACTCAAATAGCAATATGTGTGTTTTCAAAGGACAAAAAAAGAAGATATGCTGATATATGAGCACACTTATCCCTAACATTTGCCTAGGAGGGTAGGGGAAAAAGGAGATAGGTCCACATAAAACTTGCCTGGGGAGATTTCTGGGCAGCCTCTTTTAGATCCTGAACCGCTCCTTCCCAGTCTTCTGTAAGAAGCTTAGCTTCACCTCTCTGCAACCAGTAGAAGGTAACATACAACAAGCAGATGAAGTAAGAGACTAGCGAGATCTGGCTATAACAACTAATTCAATTGCATTGTCTGGTGCATAACTTAGTTTACCAAACAAATATACATTACTATTTTTTTTTGCATCACTTATTCACTCATAAAGTCAAAACACATTATTTGTGCATACTGAATTACATTTTTTGTGGTTTCTGAATAGCAGTTGCAGATTTCCCAAGTCTTGTGGTTTAAAATACAGAATTAGAAGGACAGGCTAATGCGACTGCATGTCTGCATGCTCGCAGCTTGCTCAATAATGTGGCATCAGAGTGCGGAAGGAGTCCAAGATTCAACATTAATTGCAGGGCAATCAGACTGAAATTCCCTTCTTTTTTTCACGGAAGTTTCAACATTGAATAATAAGAACTTTGGTTTCCACTCTAAATTAGAAAAATGTGTATTTCTGTGCATGCCAAGCAAGTAATGTCACCTGTGTTAATGCATCAACAAGTTCTCCATCTATGTTGAGTGCTTCTGTACAGCTACTTATAGCCTCCTTGCCTCTTCCGAGTTTAACCAGAACCTTACATAGCCCAAGATAAAGATGTACATTGTAAGAAGTATGATCTGGATCCATTGCTAGGGATGCCTTGTAGTCCTCAGCAGACACACGTAGCTTACCCTTGGCAGCATTATCTTCAGCCTGCATGCACACCATTTGATCCTATTACTATGATGCAGTAAGCCCCTAATTTGTTGATACAAAGAAATCATACTCACACTCTTAGTCTTCTTCACAAGATTTTTCAACCCAAAATATGCTTTCTTCAGTTCTGAATGTTCAGGGTCTAGACGAAGGCCTTTCTGGTAGTGCCTAAACAATTAATATTGTCATCACTGTACAAATATTTAAAGCTAGCACATTTATCTAGTACTGCATTTGTGTGTGCAGGCACAAACAAGCATGCACTTGTCCAAACCTAAAATACCAGACACGCTTTACCTGGATGCAACATCATGATCAGCAAGGTAGTAATATGCTCGGCCACGAAGCAACAAGGCATCCAGGTTATCTTCATCTTCCTTCAGAATAAATCCTGTTTCTGAGATAACAGTTGAGTAGTCTTTAAGTGCTAGCAATGCTTTAGCCTTGAGAAGCTTCGCCTGAAAAATCCATTTTTAGTACTGCAGCTTACTGAGACAAAATTAGATGAAATATTTATCTGTCCATGGTTCCTACTATCCTCTGAAATATACCTTTAAGCAGTCTGGAGAAAAAACAAGCACAATTTTGTTGATGTAATCCAGGACTTTTGAGAAGTCATGAGACTCAAACTGGCCATAAGCAGACTCTAATGCATTTTGAGCCTGAAGCAGTTGAGATAATTCCTTTTCCACTGAAGAACTCCCAGGTTTTAGCTCCAGGTATTTGCTATAGTCACCCTCCGCTTCCTTGTACCTAGACTTCAGAAAAAACACATTGAAACGAGTAAGGGATACGGAAAGGTGACACATACGTGTAAAACTGACAATGTTATAAGTAGGCACATATGCTTAACGGTTCTTTAATGGAGTCTTTCAGATATGGATGTTTTTTTAATAATAAAGTTTAGACATTTTTAGGACAAGAGAAAATGGGAGTTTAGCTATCTGGCGGTGGCAAGTAATTATTTTTCTGGTCAGTAACTTTGAACTGAGGAACAGATGTGAATCAAACATGAATGGATTATAATCTAAAGTAACGGATACAACTTTTTTTTACCTGCACTTGTGACGAAGCACAGATGCACGCTGCCTGTAAGCTTCTGAGTGATTTGGTTCAACCTCCAGCACAGCATTTAGCAGACCAAGTGATCCATCATATTTCCTTAGGTTCATCATTTCTAAGGCTCGTTTGAACAAAGTAGAGGGATCATTATCTTGGCCTTCTGAAAAAATGAGGGGAAAAAGGATACTTAGTCTACCAGGAAGCATAAAGGAAACATCCATTTTGTGTAGACGTAGTGCTGATTGGAATGAAAAGAAACTTAGGACATTGCTGATCCATGAAATTAATATGCTGAATAGAAAATTTAGGATGGAGTGGTTCCGTTAAATTTCATGAGATGAACCCATGATGGAGCAGTTAATAGGATCCAAGGCTGGCTCTAGATCCAAATATCTTGTGTTAGAAACGATCCAATGGTATCGCAGATGGATGCAGAGCACTGAGGTGGTCGAATGAGATGACGAGTCTCGCGTTCATCTTATCTGTATGATGGATGATTCACTTCCAATATTTGCCATTTGGGGGTGGTGGGGCGAAGAGGAAGCGCCGCCCCACAAGAGAGAGAAGACGGGGGTCGCAGTACCTTGAGCGAAGACGAAGAAGACGGGGGAGGAGTGAAGGAGAAGCAGCGGCAGCAGCACCCTCCACGGCCACCGCGCCATCGCCACCATGCTCTCTTAGTTCTGCCTGCTAAATTAGACTCAAATTTTCAAGCAAATCTTGTTGAAAACTTCTTATAAGAATATACCTTGATAAAAAGATATTGTGTGTGACTACTCTTCTTAAGAAATTTTTATGTGAGTTACTGAGTTTGGATAAGTACAAATTATATGAGCTTACATTTTTCTTTCTAATGCAACTATTCTAAGGGTTTGTGGATGATATTCAGTAACCAAATTACATCCGCTAAAAACAAAAATCAAAATTAACAAGTTGAAAGTAGGTGGAACTGAGCAGAGGCAGATCTAACCCTGTTTCGGTTGAACCAGGGATAACGCTTAACGCAGAATAGCTGATGAGGTGTGGGTAGGGAAGGATGCTCACCGGCGAGCGACGATGCGGTGGAAGCAGGAGGACGCCGGGCGCCACCTCTGCTCGCGGCGGAAGCGGCGGGCGAGGAGGCGAAATCCGAGGCCGAGGCCGAGGCCGGATGGGATGGATTAGGATGCTCACCGGTGAGCGAATGCGGCGGGAGCAGGAGGACGCCGGCGCCACCTCAGCTGGCAGGATGGAGATCGGCGGCGGCCGGCGGGCGAGGAGACGGCCGGGACGGATTGGGGAGGCGGAGGTCGTCGCCTGCCTATGGGTCATATGCACAGGCCCATGAGGCTGGAATTTTTCATCTCCCAAAAAAGTTCATCTAAGGTTCCCTAACTTCTTGTTGAGTTTAAAAGGCCATGAAACCTCTAATCCTGTAAAACCGGATCGGATCACTTTTGATCCCAAGGTAGTATTGCTTTTCGGTTTTGTTGATGTGGTGGCTGAGTCCCACGTGGACCCCACAAGTTAACCGGCAATCTTCTTCCACTTCACTCCCCTCCTCCCATCTCAACCCAAACCTCCTGGGCATCCGCCAATGGGTGGGGAGAAGGGTGTCGGTCGGCGAGGAAAAGCTCGACGGCCGGGAGCGCTCACATCATGGACTTGCGCACGCAGGGGGGGTGCGGCGCGGGTCCCAACCACAACTGCAATGTCGTCTTCACCTGCACGCGTGAGTGATGAGGCTTCTACCTCATCACGCTGTCCAAGCTCCTATCCCCCAAGCTCATAGTCACCCCCTGTCGAGCTGCTCAAAAGCCGATGTGTTCAGGTGTCCCCGAGCTCCGCCTCTCGTCCGTAGAGGCGCACGTGCGGTTCCGCCGCATCGTCTTCGAGGTCAACTCCACTTGCACCACATTGTGGTCGCATCGTCCTCGACACATGCACCCTTCTCCCCGCCTCTCGCCACTGCCAAGCTTCTTATTGGCTGCTAGCCTTCTCCCTGTCCCCTTCTCTCTACAATTTTGTGGTTAGCTTCTTATTACTAGTTGCTGCTTGTGTTATTGTAGGCTCACTTGTGACGAATCCGTTTTTTTACAAAGTACTATATTGGTCCAAACATGAGACTTGCTTCCGCTTATCACATTTCTATGTAATTGTAGTGTCATTACAGTAGCGGATGTGAACCTCATTTCTATATATTTCTTAAAAAAACTAATGGTAGTGTCAGTAAATTTACTGCCCCACCTACTCTAACAGTAGATTTTATAAAGCATCCTTAGAACTTTTTAATATTTAAAATAATTGAATTCTAACATACAACCACGTATAAAATCAAAAGTTGAATATTTCCAATAGCAAATGATGAATAACATATTTTATAAAAAGTATATTTATATATTTATTTATATCCATGGTAGAGTACATTTGTTTAGCAAGTAGTTAAAGTTTTAAATTCGCCAATTTCACTATATCTAAGCCATAATTGATCCTTCACTAGGGATTTAAAAAAGTCAAAACTGAGAATTTCATTAAATGGAAAATATTCATTCTGGTAGCAATTATGTATATTAGCTTGGATACATGATAAAAGATTACCTTAAACTAAGGTTTTCGGTGGCTTTTGCATGATTTGGGATTATTTGTGACAACCTCCTAATGACTCCTAATGAGTAAATTTTATAAAACTACATTTGATCAAATTATTGTAAAACTACGTACATATTGAAATATGTGTATCACAAAACTATAAATTTAGCTTCAATTTTATAAAATGAAATATATATTTCAAACATGAAAACTACCTTAAATGGTGTTAAATCTATTATTTTATAATACATATTTTTAAATCTATATTGTAAATTAATGGTACTCTACAAATTGTACTCCCTCCATAAAAAAAGAAATCTAGAACACTACAATGAATCAGATGAATATATAGATTCATAGTATTAGAATATATCACATCTAGTATTAGGCTGATTTTTTATGGGACGGAGGTTTGTTGGGAAACACAACCAAAATGATCAGCGACGACTGAGGGTGTGTTTAGTTTACGTCAAAATTGGAAGTTTTGTTGAAATTGGAACGATGTAATAGAAAAGTTGGAAGTTTATGTGTGTAGGAAAGTTTTGATGTGATGGAAAAGTTGGAAGTTCGAAGAAAAAATTTGGAGAAAAATGCCTGTGTGAAGTGCACACGCCCCTCGCCGCGGCCAGCTTCCGTTGCTGCGATTTTGACAGGGACAATGCCGGCGTCGTAATCCGACGACGAGCGGTAGCTCCGGCGTGCAAGCAAGCGGCGCTCACTGCTAGTGTCACGGGGATGGCCGGAAATGGATTTGTTGGATCTCGAATGGATGGATGGATGCATCAATGGTGGCTTGGCTTTCATGTCGCTCCTTGTCGTTGCTGCTCTTTGGGTGCAAGAAATCCCACAAGCCGTCGCTCTCATCCTACCCGATGATTGATGCGTATTTCTTGCCCCCTTTCCGCTTATCCGCCCACGAAAAGGGCGCCGATTTCTACTCCTCTTCTCCCCAAGAATCACTGGCTCAGTGGTTAGTGGTGACTAGTCATCGGACTCGGAGGGAGTGATCTGTCCGAGGGGATAAGGAGGGCTTCGTGTTCTTGAAATTCAGTTGTTGCGGCTTGCTTTCCGTGCAATTCTTGGTTGAGATCGCCCAATCATTGGGGGCATAAATGGAGGTGGAATTCTTGGAGGATTCCATTGATTTGATGCGTCTGGTAGTGTGGTGGTGTTCTTGAGTCTTGATTAGTGAGGAGGGAGTGGTTCTTGGCGGGAATGGCGGCGGCGGCGGTTGGGGTCGTGGTGGTGGTGGTGGTGTTCTTGGCCGCCGCCGTCGATGGCGTCGCGGGGAAGGACTGCACGAACGGGTTCCCGGGGCTGACGGCGTCGCACACGGAGCGCGCGGCCGCGGCGGCGGAGCAGCGGCCGGACGGCGAGGTCGAGGCGGCGCGGGTGCTCGATCTCCTCCTCCCCCACGGCCACGGCCACGGCGACGACCACGACGGCGACCGCCACCTCACCCCCACCGACGAGTCCACCTGGATGTCTCTCATGCCGCGGAGGCTCCTCGCGAGCCCCGTCTCTTCCCCGCGGCGCGACGCGTTCGACTGGCTCATGCTCTACCGCAACCTCCGGGGCTCCGGCTCCGGCGCCGGCGCCATCGCCGCGAGCGGCGGCGCGCTCCTGGCGGAGGCGTCGCTGCACGACGTGCGGCTGCAGCCGGGCACCGTGTACTGGCAGGCCCAGCAGACCAACCTGGAGTACCTGCTCCTCCTCGACGTCGACCGCCTCGTGTGGAGCTTCCGCACGCAGGCCGGCCTTCCGGCGTCCGGGGCGCCCTACGGCGGGTGGGAGGGCCCCGGCGTCGAGCTCCGGGGACACTTCGTCGGTGCGCCACCGCCATTTCTCGGCATCACTTGCACAGCGAAATCGCGCAATTGGTCTGAATTTGCGGTGGCTTTGCTTTGCTGCCTGTTCTTTGCAGGACACTACCTGAGTGCTACTGCCAAGATGTGGGCGAGCACACACAATGACACTCTCCTGGCGAAGATGTCATCGGTCGTCGACGCGCTCCATGATTGCCAGAAGAAGATGGGATCGGGGTACTTGTCGGCCTTCCCCTCGGAGTTCTTCGACAGGGTTGAGTCCATCAAGGCTGTTTGGGCTCCTTACTATACAATTCACAAGGTATATGGGGGAATTTCAGTTCCTAGTGTTGCTTGATCACTATATTATATCATTGTCTTGCTACATGAGTGCAATTCTTGGTTTGCAGATTATGCAAGGTCTTCTTGATCAGTATACGGTGGCCGGGAATTCTAAGGCCCTTGATTTGGTGGTCGGGATGGCCAATTACTTCAGTGACCGTGTGAAGAATGTCATACAGAAATACAGTATTGAGAGGCATTGGGCTTCACTCAATGAGGAGAGTGGTGGGATGAATGATGTGCTCTATCAGCTCTACACGATAACGGTGATTGTCGGTTTGTTATGAGATAGGAATACTGCCTTGATTAATGCAATTTTCTCTAGTGGAGTTGCTAACTTTTCTAGTTTTCTTGCATGTGCAGAATGATCAGAAGCATCTGACTCTGGCCCATCTTTTTGATAAGCCATGTTTTCTTGGGTTGCTTGCAGTTCAGGTCTGCTGATTTATTTTCTTACCTGCTTTTGTTCTTATATTCTGTATCATCTATGAACATGTGTCAATTTATGGTGAATGACTCAGACCAACTTACATTCAACTTCAACCTTGTTTGTCATATAGCAATTTACCTGTTTTACTAACTGTCAAAAATTATGGATTACCTAATATCCAGTTTTGAGTTGGCACTTGGCAGTTTGAAAATCAATATAACTACATGTTTGCGTGCCAAATGGATCTATTATTTCAATTCTACTGTTCATTTTGTCATTATATTTTTCCCACTATAGCAAAGACACTACCTAAAATGAAGTTTAGAACTTTTGGCTTGGGTGTCTGATTCCAGAGGATACAAGAATAGTAGTATTCCTATTGCAGTAATGTCTCTGACTGATAAATCTTGAGTGTGCTTCAATTCAGGCCGACAGTATTTCAGGCTTCCATTCCAATACACACATTCCAGTTGTTATTGGTGCACAGATGAGATATGAAGTTACTGGTGATCTTCTTTACAAGGTAAAAGAACACAAACCTTTCTTTCTGGATATTTACTCCATATGCATACATGAAGATGAATTATCTGTCCAGGGATATGGATATGAATGTACAATGCTAATAGTTTAGATTATCATATTGGTTACTTTTTTTTAGTGGTCATATTGGCTGCTTGGCTGAAAGGAAAAGGATAGCTTTATTCTGCTTACAGATTATGCATATTTCCTGCTGATATTGGTAAATTTCCAGATATGGGCCTGGAAGTGTGATAGCATAATCCGGGGAAAATAGTATATTTCTTGCTAACCCATGCTTTCTCTAGGTAAACTATAGTTTTTGGGCAGTATTATACCTTTCATTACCTATTAGCTCTGTAGTTATCCATATGCAGTCCCTTTTTTTGTCAGCTGTATGTCAAAGCCATGTGTTGGTTTTTTACTGGAGTTTTTTTATGCTGTTTTTTACTGGAGTTATACTATCTGTTTTTCTTTCTAATTCTTTTCACTAACATCATTTGAGAGAAAAGCTGATTGTAATCATAATTCTCATGAAACAGCAAATTGCAACGTTTTTCATGGATACCATCAATTCTTCTCATAGCTATGCTACTGGGGGCACATCTGCTGGTGAATTTTGGTAATTTTACTCTAGATTCTGAATTCATAGTCAATAGTATATTTCTCTTTGATGTATGACTATCTACTTCTATAT